TTTATATATTATTATTATTATACAGGATTTATATATTATTATTATACAGGATTCATATATTATTATTATTATTATTATTATAATACAGGATTTATATATTATTATTATTATTATGCAGGATTTATATATTATTATTATTATACAGGATTTATATATTATTATTATTATACAGGATTTATATATTATTATTATACAGGATTCATATATTATTATACAGGATTTATATATTATTATTATTATACAGGATTTATATATTATTATTATACAGGATTCATATATTATTATTATTATAATACAGGATTTATATATTATTATTATTATTATGCAGGATTATATATATTATTATTATTATACAGGATTTATATATTATTATTATACAGGATTTATATATTATTATTATTATTATTATTATACAGGATTTATGGCACCAACAGTTTGCTCAGCGCTTTACAATACAACGAGAGACAATACAGCGACAATACAGTTCAATACAAGAGGGGTAGGAGGGCCTGATCCTGGGAGCTTACAATCTAGGAGGGTGCCTTCATTTCTCAGATCATAGAGGAAACTCCACCCCTGCAGACTATTGCACTGTTTATTAAATAATATAAGTGGCCGCAATACATACAGTTAGGTCCATATATATATATTTTTAATCAAGCAAATAAATAAAAGGAATGCGCTAAACGAACATATAAATAAATAAATGACAAAGAAAAAGTGTGAAAAAAAAAGAAGTGTTCATAAATACAATAAATGTCCAAAAAATATCTTTCAAAATCAAGTGATGTCCACACCGTGCTAAATCCACCACCAAAATAAGTTGGGTCACTCACCGGATCTCAATGCTGATCAGCAAATGGACCAACAAGAAACGCTTTTGCTCTGGGAGCAACAGATATCAATCCAGTTCTTGGATGCAATGCTCTGCTATGCTCTGCTCTGCTATGCAATGCTCTGCTATGCTCTGCTATGCAATGCAATGCTCTGCTATTTATTTGCTTGATCAAAAAATTTATGTGAGTTTTTTTGAAGTGGGAATTTGCTGCTTTGGAGAGTTTAGGGGTGTGGCGCTTTTCTAACAATACTCTGATATATATTTTTACACTGGCACAATTTTAATTCTTTGTTCAGGTATTTACCAAAAAATATTCATGCTCTAGTTCTATCATGAATATGGGCTGACAGTGCGGACTCTTGAGGGTATATACATCCAAATTGGAGGAAAGGTTTTGGAATTACAGCTCTTAAGAGCAGCCACCCCCCTCTTTTTCAAGGGACCAAAAGTAATAGGACAATTGAATCAAAAGCTGTTTCATGGCCAGGTGTGGGCTACTCCATTATTTCTTCATCAATTAAGCAGGTAAAAGGTCTGGAATTGATATCAATTTTCAATCAATTTTCTATGCGGTGGTTTGACGGTTGTACGAAAAAAATCACTCATGAGCGGAAACAGAAGATGACTCGGATGTTTATGTCCGAGGACGTCAACACGAACGAAAAATCCAAATGTTAGAAGTAGATCGGCCTAATGAGATCATGAAACCAGAATTCTGCAGATTATATTTTATGTATCACTTTTTATGTACTTAGGTCATGTAATAAACGATATTATACTCATTGCTGGTAATCGTTGTGTATATCGTTCGATCTGGCCGGGAGGGCGTGGAACGCTCATTCTGGCCGGGAGGGCGTGGAATGCTCATTCTGGCCGGGAGGGCGTGGAACGCTCATTCTGACCGGGAGGGCGTGGAACGCTCATTCTGACCGGGAGGGAGTGGAACGCTCATTCTGGCCGGGAGGGCGTGGAACGCTCATTCTGACTGGGAGGGCGTGGAACGCTCATTCTGACTGGGAGGGCGTGGAACGCTCATTCTGACCGGGAGGGAGTGGAACGCTCATTCTGGCCGGGAGGGCGTGGAACGCTCGATCTGGCCGGGAGGGCGTGGAACGCTCATTCTGGCCGGGAGGGCGTGGAACGCTCGATCTGGCCGGGAGGGCGTGGAACGCTCATTCTGACCGGGAGGGAGTGGAACGCTCATTCTGGCCGGGAGGGCGTGGAACGCTCATTCTGGCCGGGAGGGCGTGGAATGCTCATTCTGACTGGGAGGGCGTGGCTACAAGGTCACACGCACACTGCATCACTTCCACTTGTACGGAAGATGCCAACGCTACGTATTGTCCGACGAACGATTTTTTTTTAGATTGGTTAATGCGGGCCACGATTTCGACCAAACGAACGAATGCCTCTTGGTCGTCGGATGACCGATCAGTCGATTTTCTAATCGTGTATTCCCACCTTAAGCGTAGGATTTCCATTTGGAATCTGCACCGCCGTATTGAACCAAACCTAAAGGGTCCGTACAGAGCCCGGCGTCCTGGGGCATTGCATTTACATGCAGATTTTTGCTCAGTAACATGCGTTGCATTAGAGCAGCCAATTCAAGTGAAAAAGAAAAGGACGCATGATTGTTTATGGCAATACAGCGCATGACAACCCAAGGTAGTGCGTACTGGAGGTTGTGTTGCCCTGCATTGGAGCCACATTACAAGATTTGATGCCGCCCGCAGCTAGGGGGGTCAGTGGCCTCACCTAGGGGTCAGTGGCCTCAACTAGGGGTCAGTGGGCTCACCTAGGGGTCAGTGGCCTCATCTAGGGGTCAGTGGGCTCACCTAGGGGTCAGTGGCCTCACCTAGGGGTCAGTGGCCTCATCTAGGGGTCAGTGGCCTCACCTAGGGGTCAGTTGCCTCATCTAGGGGTCAGTGGCCTCACCTAGGTGTCAGCGGCCTCACCTAGGGGTCAGCGGCCTCAACTAGGGGTCAGCGGCCTCAACTAGGGGTCAGTGGCCTCACCTAGGGATCAGTGGCCTCACCTAGGGGTCAGTGGCCTGATCTAGGGGTCAGTGGCCTCATCTAGGTGTCAGTGGCCTCACCTAGGGGTCAGCGACCTCATCTAGGGGTCAGTGGGCTCACCTAGGGGTCAGTGGCCTCATCTAGGGGTCAGTGGCCTCATCTAGGGGTCAGTGGCCTCACCTAGGGGTCAGTGGCCTCACCTAGGTGTCAGCGGCCTCACCTAGGTGTCAGCGGCCTCACCTAGGTGTCAGCGGCCTCACCTAGGGGTCAGCGGCCTCACCTAGGGGTCAGTGGCCTCATCTAGGGGTCAGTGGCCTCACACGCAGGTCTTCAGGTCAGTCTGTGGTCTCCATTTCTCCCCAGCTTCACCTTTGGTCTCTAGCGCAGGTTACCTCAGCTACGCTGTCATCATCGGTTGCTAGGACTGTTATCAGCCAATCAGGTGCTTGGCTGTGGTGTAAGGGATGGGGGGGCTCTGATTTAAGGGAGGGGGGCTGTGGTGTAAGGGATGGGGGGGGGGGTCTGATGTAGGGGTTGATTCTGATGTAATGGAGGGGGGCTGTGATATAAATGAGGACTCTGATGGGGACAATCATGTAAGATTCTGATTGGCTGGAGATTGTTTGGAATCTCTATGCTTTGCTTTACTGTTCCCTCTCTGTTGTCCTGAATCCTATCACACCGATCACACAAAAAATGTCCAGACAAATCTTATTTATTCATTTAAAGCTGAACTCCGGGAAGAACAAATATCATCTAAATCCATCAGTCATGTGCCCTCTTCCGGAATCTCGGTGTGATTTGTGCATTTCCTCCAGATCTGTGCCGTCATCCAGCGTGAGACTTCCTGGAATAAAGACCGCTCACTGCCGCCCTCTCTCCTTGTGCAGGGTGACTGGTCTGGTCTCCGCCCCCTCCTCTAGTCTCTGCCTGTAGTGGGTGGAGCCTGCTGGGCCCCTCCAACAGCTTCTCCTCTATCTCCCCCTCTCTCCCTATCTTCTCTCTCTCTCTCTCCTTCTCTCTCTCCTTCTCTCTCTCCCCTTCTCTCTCTCATTTGGCAGGGTGACTGGTCTTGTTCTTGCCCCCTCCTGTAGTTTTCTGCAGGCAGCCTTAGTGGGTGGGATCTGCTGGGCCCCTCCCACAGCTCTGCTCTCTCTCCTTGTACAGGGGTACTGGTCTGGTCTCCACCCCTTCCTGTAGTCTCTGCCTGTAGTGGGTGGAGCCTGCTGGGCCCCTCCCACAGCTTCTCTCTCCCCTCCTCTCTCTCTCCCTCTCTCCTCTCTCTATCTCTCCCCTCCTCTCTCCCCCTCTCTCTCCTCACTCTCTCTCCCTCCCCCCCCCATCTCTCCCTCTCTCTCCTTCTCTCCACCTATCTCTTCCCCCCCCCCCCCCTCTCTCTCTGTCCTCCTCCTCCTCTCTTTCTCTCTCTCATTTGGCAGGGTGACTAGTCTTGTTCTTGCCCCCTCCTGTAGTTTTCTGAAGGCAGCCTTTGTGGGTGGGATCTGCTGGGCCCCTCCCACAGCTCTGCTCTCTCTCCTTGTACAGAGGTACTGGTCTGGTCTCCGCCCCCCCCTGTAGTCTGCCTGTAGTGAGTGGAGTGCTGGCCCCTCCCACAGCTCTCTCTCCTTCCTTCTCTCTCTCTCTCCACCCCCTCTCTCTCTCCCTCTCGCCCCCCCTCTCTCTCTCTCCCCCCCTCCCAAAGCTCTGCTCCCTGCACAAGCTGTTGATTTCACTGCTACCTTTACAAAGTAATATCTGTGTTTGCACACAAAATAGGTTTCTATCCTACATCGCTATTGAGAGATAAATATAAAGGACAGTTCTTGTGCCCGGAGTTCAGATTTAACCTTTACTCATCCATTTATAAAGCTAATATTTTTTGGCCCCGGAGTCTCTGTAAAAGGTACCAGGTGGCCCTCGTACTGAAGAGTCCGGATAGCTCGGCCTTTGGGATGCCTTTCACAGTGAATGTCACATATTGTGCGTTAAGGTGCGCTGCGCGTTATTACAATGCACTGCAACGAAAAAGCCTAAAAAAAAGGTCCGATCACCAATGTTGTCATCCAAGGTTCACGCGTTATTCACATACGATTTGGTTGGAAAGTTGTGGGAATGTTGGGTGAAAACTTTGATAAATAGATCCTACGCATTCCCTGACTACAAAATTTGAGGCCAGCAGGTGGCGCTGTGTCGGGATCGCCCTGTGCGCTCTGCGTGTCTCCCAGTCGCAGCCTTGTGGGGTCGGTGTGTCGGGTCCACAACTCCCACAGCTGCATCTGTATCAGGAATTAGTCAGGGTGACTTACCCGTCTGTACATTCCTGAGTGCCGCATCATGTCCGTCCTCCACAACCACACTGCCTGCACCAAGATCTGCTCTGCGAGGATTCCCAGCAACTACACACTGATCTGACATACCCTCCAGATGTGGAATGAGTGGGGTCCCTGACTGGCTCCTGTATCATGTCTGCAGTCTCTGGTCATCTCCTGTACTGTGTCCGCAGTCTCTGACCATCTCCTGTACTGTGTCCGCAGTCTCTGACCATCTCCTGTACTATGTCCGCAGTCTCTGGTCATCTCCTGTACTGTGTCTGCAGTCTCTGGTCATCTCCTATACTGTGTCCGCAGTCTCTGGTCATCTCCTGTACTATGTCCGCAGTCTCTGGTCATCTCCTGTACTATGTCTGCTGTCTCTGGTCATCTCCTGTACTGTGTCCGCAGTCTCTGACCATCTCCTGTACTGTGTCCGCAGTCTCTGACCATCTCCTGTACTGTGTCCGCAGTCTCTGACCATCTCCTGTACTGTGTCCGCAGTCTCTGACCATCTCCTGTACTGTGTCCGCAGTCTCTGACCATCTCCTGTACTGTGTCCGCAGTCTCTGGTCATCTCCTGTACTATGTCCGCAGTCTCTGGTCATCTCCTGTACTGTGTCTGCAGTCTCTGACCGTCTCCTGTACTATGTCTGCAGTCTCTGACCATCTCCTGTACTTCAGTCAGGTCCAAAAATATTGGGACATCGACACAATTCTAACATTTTTGGCTCTATACACCACCACAATAGATATGAAATGAAACGGACAAGATGTGCTTTAACTGCAGACTGACAGCTTTAATTTGAGGGTATTTACATCCAAATCAGGTGAACGGTGTAGGAATTACAACAGGTTGCATATGTGCCTCCCACTTGTTAAGGGACCAAAAGTAATGGGACAGAATAATAATCATAAATCAAACTTTCACTTTTTAATACTTGGTTGCAAATCCTTTACAGTCAATTACAGCCTGAAGTGTGGAACACATAGACATCACCAGACGTTGGGTGTCATCCCTGGTGATGCTCTGCCAGGCCTCTACTGCAACTGTCTTCAGTTCCTGCTTGTTCTTGGGGCATTTTCCCTTCAGTTTTGTCTTCAGCAAGTGAAATGCTCAATCGGATTCAGGTCAGGTGATTGACTTGGCCATTGCAGAACATTCCACTTCTTTGGTGGCTTTTGCAGTCTGCTTTGGGTCATTGTCCATCTGCACTGTGAAGCGTCCAATGAGTTGTGAAGCATTTGGCTGAATATGAGCCGATAATATTCCCGAAACACTTCACAATTCATCCGGCTGCTTCTGTCAGCCGTCACATCATCAATAAATACAAGAGAAGCAGTTCCATTGGCAGCCATACATGCCCACGCCATGACACTACCACCACCATGATCACTGATGAGGTGGTATGCTGAGGACCATGAGCAGTTCCTTCTCCATCCTCTTCTCTTCCCATCACTCTGGTACAAGTTGATGTCGGTCTCATCTGTCCATAGGATGTTGTTCCAGAACTGTGAAGGCTTTTTTACATGTCGTTTGGCAAACTCTAATCTGGCCTTCCTGTGTTTGAGGCTCACCAATGGTTTCCATCTTGTGGTGAACCCTCTGTATTCACTCTGGTGAAGTCTTCTCTTGATTGGTGACTTTGACACACATACACCTACCTCCTGGAGGGTGTTCTTGATCTGGCCAACTGTTGTGAAGGGTGTTTTCTTCACCAGGGAAAGAATTCTTCGGTCACCCACCACAGTTGTTTTCCGTGGTCTTCCGGGTCTTTTGGTGTTGCTGAGCTCACCGGTGCGTTCCTTCTTTTTAAGAATGTTCCAAACAGTTGTTTTGGCCACGCCTAATGTTTTTGCTATCTCTCTGATGGGTTTGTTTTGTTTTTTCAGCCTAATGATGGCTTCACTGATAGTGACAGCTCTTTGGATCTCATCTTGAGAGTTGACAGCAACAGATTCCAAATGCAAATAGCACACTTGAAATGAACTCTGGACCTTTTATCTGCTCATTATAATTGGGATAATGAGGGAATAAACACACACCTGGCCATGGAACAGCTGAGAAGCCAATTGTCCCATTACTTTTGGTCCTTAACAAGTGGGAGGCACATATGCAAACTGTTGTATTTCCTACACCGTTCACCTGATTTGGATGTAAATACCCTCAAATTAAAGCCGACAGTCTGCAGTTAAAGCACATCTTGTTCGTTTCATTTCAAATCCATTGTGGTGGTGTATAGAGCCAAAAATGTTAGAATTGTGTCCATGTCCCAATATTTATGGACCTGACTGTATATCTACAGTCTCTGACCATCTCCTGTACTATGTCTGCAGTCTCTAACCATCTCCTGTAGTATGTCTGCAGTCTCTAACCATCTCCTGTAGTATGTCTGCAGTCTCTGACCATCTCCTGTACTATGTCTGCAGTCTCTGGTCATCTCCTGTACTGTGTCCGCAGTCTCTGGTTATCTCCTGTACTATGTCCGCAGTCTCTGGTCATCTCCTGTACTGTGTCCGCAGTCTCTGGTCATCTCCTGTACTGTGTCCGCAGTCTCTGACCATCTCCTGTACTATGTCTGCAGTCTCTGGTCATCTCCTGTACTGTGTCCGCAGTCTCTGACCATCTCCTGTACTATGTCTGCAGTCTCTGGTCATCTCCTGTACTATGTCTGCAGTCTCTGGTCATCTCCTGTACTGTGTCCACAGTCTCTGACCATCTCCTGTACTATGTCTGCAGTCTCTGGTCTTCTCCTGTACTATGTCTGCAGTCTCTGACCATCCCCTGTACTATGTCTGCAGTCTCTGACCATCCCCTGTACTATGTCCGCAGTCTCTGGTCTTCTCCTGTACTATGTCCGCAGTCTCTGACCATCTCCTGTACTACAGTCAGGTCCATAAATATTGGGACATCGACACAATTCTAACATTTTTGGCTCTATACACCACCACAATTGATTTGAAATGAAACAAGCAAGATGTTCTTTAACTGCAGACTGCCAGCTTTAATTTGAGGGTATTTACATCCAAATCAGGTGAACGGTGTAGGAATTACAACAGTTTGCATATGTGCCTCCCACTTGATAAGGGACCAAAAGTAATGGGACAATTGGCTTCTCAGCTGTCCCATGGCCAGGTGTGTGTTATTCCCTCATTATCCCAATTACAATGAGCAGATAAAAGGTACAGAGTTCATTTCAAGTGTGCTATTTGCATTTGGAATCTGTTGCTGTCAACTCTCAAGATGAGATCCAAAGAGCTGTCACTATCAGTGAAGCAAGCCATCATTAGGCTGAAAAAACAAAACAAACCCATCAGAGAGATAGCAAAAACATTAGGCGTGGCCAAAACAACTGTTTGGAACATTCTTAAAAAGAAGAAGCGCACCGGTGAGCTCAGCAACACCAAAAGACCCGGAAGACCACGGAAAACAACTGTGGTGGATGACCGAAGAATTCTTTCCCTGGTGAAGAAAACACCCTTCACAACAGTTGGCCAGATCAAGAACACTCTCCAGGAGGTAGGTGTATGTGTGTCAAAGTCACCAATCAAGAGAAGACTTCACCAGAGTGAATACAGAGGGTTCACCACAAGATGGAAACCATTGGTGAGCCTCAAAAACAAGAAGGCCAGATTAGAGTTTGCCAAATGACATGTAAAAAAGCCTTCACAGTTCTGGAACAACATCCTATGGACAGATGAGACCGACATCAACTTGTACCAGAGTGATGGGAAGAGAAGAGGATGGAGAAGGAAAGGAACTGCTCATGATCCGTCGCATACCACCTCATCAGTGATCATGGTGGTGGTAGTGTCATGGCGTGGGCATGTATGGCTGCCAATGGAACTGCTTCTCTTGTATTTATTGATGATGTGACGGCTGACAGAAGCAGCCGGATGAATTGTGAAGTGTTTCGGGAATATTATCTGCTCATATTCAGCCAAATGCTTCAGAACTCATTGGACGCTTCACAGTGCAGATGGACAATGACCCAAAGCAGACTGCAAAAGCCACCAAAGAAGTGGAATGTTCTGCAATGGCCAAGTCAATCACCTGACCTGAATCCGATTGAGCATTTCACTTGCTGAAGACAAAACTGAAGGGAAAATGCCCCAAGAACAAGCAGGAACTGAAGACAGTTGCAGTAGAGGCCTGGCAGAGCATCACCAGGGATGAAACCCAGCGTCTGGTGATGTCTATGTGTTCCAGACTTCAGGCTGTAATTGACTGCAAAGGATTTGCAACCAAGTATTAAAAAGTGAAAGTTTGATTTATGATTATTATTCTGTCCCATTACTTTTGGTCCCTTAACAAGTGGGAGGCACATATGCAAACTGTTGTAATTCCTACACTGTTCACCTGATTTGAATGTAAATACCCTCAAATTAAAGCTGACAGTCTGCAGTTAAAGCACATCTTGTTCATTTCATTTCAAATCCATTGTGGTGTATAGAGCCAAAAATGTTAGAATTGTGTCGATGTCCCAATATTTTATGGACCTGACTGTATGTCCGCAGTCTCTGACCATCCCCTGTACTATGTCCGCAGTCTCTGGTCTTCTCCTGTACTATGTCTGCAGTCTCTGACCATCTCCTGTAGTATTTCTTCCCTTCCCCCACCACACAATCCTGTGCAGTATATTCAGGATGAATATTCTCCAATCAGGGGTGTACTGGATGGGATAATCTAATCTAAACAAGGTCACCGAATAAACAGCTGTACAGTTCTGTTACAGAAGGTTCAGGATTTGGACCGTGATCGCAGCCTCTAGCACTCTCCTGTTACGCTGAACTAGTCTTTAACTTTCTCCTGCAACCAGAAAACCTTCCTAACAGCCACTATACCATAGTAATGCCAGGTGAAAAGGAACCAGTGAAGGGACCAGTAAAGGGACAGGTGAAGGGACAGGTGAAGGGACTGGTGAAGGGACAGGTGAAGGGACTGGTGAAGGGACAGGTGAATGGACAGGTAAGTAGACAGGTGAAGGGGCAGGTGAAGGGACTGGTGAAGAGACCGGTAAAGGGACAGGTGAATGGACAGGTAAAGGACAGGTGAAGGGACTGGTGAAGGGACTGGTGAAGGGACAGGTGAAGGGACCGGTAAAGGGACAGGTGAATGGACAGGTAAAGGGACAGGTGAAGGGACTGGTGAAGGGTCAGGTAAAGGGACAGGTGAAGGGACAGGTATAGGGACAGGTAAAGGGACAGGTGCAGGGACATGTGAAGGGACAGGTGAATAGACAGATGAATGGACAGGTGAAGGGACAGGTGAAGGCACCGGTGAAGGGACGGGTATAGGGACAGGTGAAGGGACAGGTGAATGGACTGGTGAATGGAGAGGTGAAGGGACAGGTGAAGGGACGGGTATAGGGACAGGTAAAGGGACAGGTGAAGGGACTGTTAAAGGGACAGGTGAAGGGACCGGTAAAGGGAGAGGTGAAGGGACAGGTAAAGGGTAGCTGGACCCATAAATGTGGATCTGTAATGTTGAGTATCTGTAAGAATTGAGTTCACTGTAAATTGATTTGAACCGATTTTTATTCGCTGTAATCTGGCCGTTCCTCCATTCATGTATTCATTGTTTATTCGGTGAAGCAGAAAACTTTTCTGTGGTGTAGCGGCACTGAACCCAGTGGGGGGAGGGCGGCTGTCCCATCACAAGGCCTCAGCTGGTAATTGGGAAACCTCATTATTCTCCAATCAGCTGATAATAGCCCATTGTACACCCACTCTGTGTTCACACTGTGCGCATGATTCGAATTACTGGAGGGCAACTCCGACCACTGCGGGTGAACCGTGCGATCAGTCACGGCGTGACAGCCGGAGACCTCCACCACAAATTCCCCCATTGTCCACCCAAATACCCACCTTATCCCCCCACTATCTCCACTCTTCTCTCCTACCCCCCCCCCCCCATTATGATATGCCACCAATTCCAGAGGTTTCTGGATAATTTATCACCTCGGAGGAACTGTCAGAATAATATATTGAACTTTTGTACTGCAGATATCAGATTTACAGCTGCAGATTTCATCATACTGAGGGTCCTAGATTATTAATGCCCCATCAGTCAGCGTTACCCCTGCCCAGGCAATGTGACCCCGGGTATGTATACACTAAGAAACAGTCTAGATTACAGGAGGCTGCGAGGGCACACAGGTGTCATGGAGGTGCTCAGAGCTCACTGAAGACTCTGTGTGAAGCAAGATGCTCAGGGATTACTGGGTGACACCAGATGTACCTGGGTCCTGGAGACTGGAGGGTCCCTGGAGACACAGGAGTCAATGAAGACACTGGGGTCACTGAACACACAGGAGGCATTGGAGAAACAGAGTCACTGGAGACATAGAGACACTGGAGACACAAAGACACAGGAGTCACTGAAGACACAGAGTCACTGAAGACACGGGAGGCACTGAAGACACAGGAGGCACTGGAGACACAAAGACACAGGAGACACAGGAGTCACTGGAGACACAGGAATCACTGGAGACACAGGAGTCACTGGAGACACAGGAGTCAATGGAGACACAGGGGTCACTGAAGACACAGAGTCACTGGAGAAACAGGAGGCGCTGGAGACACAGAGTCACTGAAGACACAGGAGGTGCTGGAGACACAGAGTCACTGAAGACACAGGAGGTGCTGGAGACACAGAGTCACTGAAGACACAGGAGGCGCTGGAGACACAGAGTCACAGAAGACACAGGAGGCACTGGAGACACAGGAGGTGCTGGAGACACCAGGGTCATTGGAGACACAGGAGGTGCTGGAGACACCAGGGTCATTGGAGACACAGGAGTTGCTGGAGACACCAGGGTCTTCGGACACACAGGAGGTGCTGGAGACACCAGGGTCGTTGGAGACACAGGAGGTGCTGGAGACACCAGGGTCATTGGAGACACAGGGTATTACATACCCGATGACGACTGAAATGTTGTGGAGGCCTCTCTTGCACCTCCTGTCCAACACTCCTGAAGGTGGAGACAGAGAGTGTGAGGGCATGGAGTAGGCATGGAGTAGCACAAGTGTCAGAGAAGCTGGCTGACAAAGTCCACTCTTTAGGTGGGTGAAGTTGGGGGTCGCAGTCCTCAAGACAGGATGCTGAAGCAGCTTGGCACCAGAGCAGAAGATGGTAGCAGAGCCAGCAGCAACGAGGGACCAAGTCAGCAGGCAGAGCAAGTCCAGCAAGCAGGCCAAGGTACGTAACAGCCAGGAAATGTGGTACAGAATCAGCAGGTAAAGACAAGATCAGTAAACAGGCCGAGGCGAAGTCCAGAGGAAAGCCAGGTCATGCACAGGTGAGCAGGTTCAGTGGATCAGGTCTCAGGAACACAGGAACAAGCTGAAGACCATTCAGCAAGTTCTCATGGTGACAAACCAGTTTAAATAAACCACTGTTCGATAAAAGAGCACACTGATTGGTGTCCGTGCGTGTGTGCGTGCGTGTGCGTACATGTGCATACGAATGTGAGGACAACGAACTGGAATAGTAAGTCTAACATTGTCTCTTCGCTCAAATGTATGAGCATGTGTGCAATGTGCATGAATACGGCCATAGGCCCGCACTGGTTTTCTGGTGCTGGGAATCTAGTTTGGATTACACAGGGTCACTGGAGATACAGGAGTCACTGGAGAAACAGGAGTCACCGGAGACATGGAAACACAGGA